CAATGTGACTACACCCCACTGAGAACGCTTTCTCCCTACCTTCTACCCTCTCTGGCATGCACACTCACCCTCTGGTATAATTTTTTTTTGGGGGGGGAGGGAGACGTTTTTGCTATAGGGAGCGTGCGCTCACCAGAAGGAAAGAGAGAGACAGAAAGCGAGAAATCACCCCTCAGAGGGGATGGTTATGCTGCAATCCCCTCTCCTCCATTCTACTCTTGGGATCTAGGGCACACACCACACACACATGCCCGGCGTGAGTTTAAGCCACCGGGTCCGGGACACGAATCGTGGTTGACTACATGGGAGTCCAGTGACATAGTCATTATGCTAACTGCTGGTACCCCTCTGGTATAATTTTTATAAAGAAATAAAAATCTAGGACAGTAACTTATTTTATGGTTGTCTATGGTATGATCACATACAGCAGTAATATGTCTGTAAAAAATTAACTTCAAACCATTCCTATCACCATATGCAAAAAATTAACCCCCAGTGGGTCATAGACCTAAATGTAACCTAAAACTATAAAATTTAAACAAGAAAAATATTTGTGAGGTTGGGTTATGTAGATTGCTCAGGTATGATTAACAAAAGCATGATCTGTAAAAGAAGAAAATGATAAAATGAACCTTATCAAAGTTAAGAAACTTCTGCTATATAACAGACACCACTAAGAATGAAAAAGCCACCAAATGAGAGAAAGTTCTCATAAAGAACTCTCTAAATTGACTATCAGAAAACAAACCAGTAACTGACACATGGTGAAAGATGCATACAAACTGTTTACCAAAGACATACACATGCCCAGTAAGCACATGAAAAGATGCTTAAATTAAAACTACATTGATATTGGGACCAGCGCATGGCGTAATGGTTATGTCGCTGGACTCCCACATATTCAACTATAGTTCAAGTCCTGGACCCAGCAGCTTAAAACTTGCACTGAGTATGTGTGCATGTGTGTCCAAAATCCCAAGAGGAGATTGGAGAAGAGACTGCAGTGTAGCCATCCCCTCTGAGGGGTGATTTCTCACTTTCTGTCTCTCTGTGTATCTGGTGAGAGCATGCGCCCTTATAGCAAAATCTCTCTCACACACACACAAAAAACACCCCAAACAAAAAACTACACTGCTATGCCACTATGCACCACTAAGTTGGCTAAAGTTACAGGGACCATCACGTACTGTCAAAGATATAGAGGGACCAGAACTCTCAAACACTGCTGAAGGGAATGTAAAATGGTTCTACCACTTGTGGAAGACAGTTAAACATGTACCACCACCACACTCTGCATTTACTCAAGAGAAATGAAAGTATAGGTCCACAGACTTATACATGAATATTCATAATTCATATTCATCCATAATACCCCAAAACTCCAAATAACCCAAGTGTCTGTCATGTGATGAATTGATAAGCGAACTGCAGCATTATGATATGATGGAATACTACCTAACAATAAAAAGGAATGGACCACTGATACACACTATAACGTGGTTATCAAAGTAATTATGCCAACTTAAAGAAACCAGTGCCTTCTCCAAAAAAATAAATAAATAAATTAAAAAAGGGACCAGCAGTTAGCACAATGGCTATGTTGCTGGACTCCTACGTAGTTGACCGCGGTTCGTGTCCCGGAACTGGTGGCTTAAAACTCATGCCGGGCGCGTGTGTGTGCGTGCCCAAGATCCCGAGAGGATAATGAAGGAGAAGGAACTGCAGCGTGACCATCCCCCCGGGGGGTGATTTCTCGCTTTCTGTCTCTGTCTTTCTCTGCCTGGCTAACGCATGTACCCTATAGTGAAAAAACTCTCCGCCCGCCCCCCCCAAAAGAAACCAATGCTTTCCCCAAAATTCCCCTCTATGATTCCATTTATATAAAATGTTAGAGAACGTAAGTTTTATAGTATGAGAACAGATCAGTGATTTCTTAAGAGCCTGGGAGACAATAGAAATGGGCAGGAAGAAAAAAAAAATTTTTTGGGGGGGGAGAGGTTTTTGCTATAGGGCATGTGCACTCACCAGAAAGACAGAGACACAGAAAGCGAGAAATCATCCCCCAGGGGGGATGGTCACACCATAATCCCTTCTCCTCTATGCTCCTCTCGGGATCTTGGAGACACACGCACATGCATCTAGCGTGAGTTTACACCACTGGGTCCAGGACTCGAACCACAGTTGACTACATGGGAATCCAGCAACATAGTCATTACGCCAACTGCTGGTCCCGCAGTAAGAAATTCTTACCAATGATGGGTATGTTTATTCCAGATTGTAATGGTGGTATACATTATAGTGAAAGTTATCAAACTGTATAATTTAATAACTATAACAAATTCTATTATGTCATGCATACCCCCAAAAGCACTGTTTTTTAAATCTTACACGATATGAGATGGCTTACAGAAGGCAAAGGGTGATGCCATTGAGTCATCAAGAAATCAAGGCAGTAAAAGCCCAGAACTGCTGGTCTTAGAGAACAAAACAGCAAGTAGTCTAGTGTAGGTAAAGAGGAGGAGTGTGGGAAAAAAGCTAGGTAAGAACACAAAAGAAAAACTGTTTTGGAAAAAAACAGGCTGGTGCTGCAAAGGGGTATCGATTTAAAGCCAAGATCCTTGGCTTACTGTGTCTTCCTGTCAGTCCTGGGAAACCAGTGAGGAAACCTCACCTTGGAGCATTTCTCTGGTAGAAGCAGGCAGGAGCATGAACTGGGAAGAGATGCCTGGGAGCAGAAGACTAAATCATGAGCTAAGAGCTAAACACAGGTAGTCATAGAAATGGCAAGAAAGCAAGGGGTATGAGGGTAGAATGTGAATTTCATGATTAGCAGCAGGAAAAATTCGAGATAAGGACACTTGGTGTCGCCTCTTCTACCAAAGTTAGATGTATGAGGCTGGTGTTCTGAGGGCCACCTCAACCCCATGAGTAGAGAGCTTCTCCATGGAGGCCTGAGCTTGGGCTGCCACTGCTGCAGCCAAATCGCAAAATTCCTTCTAGGTGAATAAAACCCAAGAGGAGCAAATGCCAGAGAGCGTAGGTACACAGCAGGAAAACCCATTAAATACACAACTATCAGACTGGTCCCATGGCCTAATGATTAAGGGAGCCGGACCCCACTTGACCAACTGTTTTGAATCCTGGCCCTGGTGGCTTGCAAACACACTTGGTCATGTGCATGAGTCCCCAAAATTCCAACAGGAAGGAGAAATGGAGGAAGAGGAACTGAGGTGTGACCATACCCTACTGGGTGATGCTCTTTCCTTCTGTGGAGCACATATACTCTCTGGCTTATAAACAAAACAAAATTCTCATGCCCCCTACACAGAAAATAATACTTCCTTTTAAAACTATAACAAGGGGCCAGCAGATGGCTCAGCAGTCATGTTGCTGGGCTCCCACATGGCCGACCAGAGTTTGAGTCCTGGACTCATGACTTGGAAATCACACCACATGCAAGCACGTGTGCATGCATAAGTGTATGTGTGCCCAAGATCCCAGGAGGAGAACAGAGGAGAAGGGACAGAGGCATGGCAATCCCCCCAGGGATGGTCTCTCTCTTTGGTGGGTACATGCACCCTAAGACAAAAACCTTTACACACACACACACACACACACACACACACAACCTAAGTGCTAAGTTCTGCAGAAAAATAAAAAATTATCTCTAAAAATGTTAGCAACATGGAAATTCCAACACTTTGTACAGTAAGATGGTCTTTAGTTTCTAGTGGTGAATGATATTTCACACACAAGGAGTTATTTCTAACAATTTAGTAATTAGAATGATCTGTGTTGTAGGAGGACAGTCCTTTGTGTATGAAAGTGCACAAGCCCTCTGGCAATTTAAAAATAAAAAATTCAGGGTCAGCCCTGTGGCCTGGTAGTTAAAAGAGCAGAAACCCACATGTTGAATCATGTAGATCAAATCCTGGCCCTGGCAGCTTGCAAAACACACTGGGCATATATGCATGCATGCCCACACCCCACTGGGAGTGCTTTCTTTCTCTCTCTTTCTCTCTCTCTCTCTTTCTCTCTCTGCCTGGAGAGAGTATACTCTCTCTGGCAATTAAAATCTAAAGTTAAGGGCCAGCAGGTGGCATGGTGGTTAAGGTGCTGGATTCCCACATGGCCAACCATGGTTTGAGTCCCAGACCTGGTGCCTTGTTTTCTCCCTCTCCATTTCTCTGTCTCTCTGGTCAAATTAAATAATAATAATAATAATAATAATAATAATAACAACAACAACAACAAATAGAGTTAAATAAATAAATGATTAAAAAAAATCTAAAGTTAAAATTTAAAACATTTTTGGGGAACCAGCAGTTAGCGTAATGGCTATGTCGCTGGACTCCCACGTAGTCGACCGCGGTTCGTGTCCCGGACCTGGTAGCTTAAAACTCACGCCGGGCGCGTGTGCGTGCGTGCCCAAGATCCCAAGAGGAGAATGGAGGAGAAGGGACTGCGGCGTGACCATCCCCCCTGGGGGGTGATTTCTCGCTTTCTGTCTCTGTCTCTCTCTGTCTGTCTGGCGAGCGCACCTGCCCTACAGTGAAAATCTCTCCAAAAAAAAAAAAAATTAAAACTTTTTTTTAAAAAGAAGCTTTTATTGGGGCCAGTAGGTAGTGTATTAGTTAAGCTACTGGACTCCCACATGGTGGACTATGGTTTGAGTTGCAGACCAGGCAGCTCAAAATTCATGCCAGTCGTGACTGTGCACGTGACCAAAAACCTGAGCTAAGAATGGAAGAGAGGGGACTATGGCGTGGCCATTCCCCCTGGAGGGGAGTGATTTCTTGCTTTCTCTCTCTGTTTCTCTGGAGAACACATGTGCCCTACAGCAATAATAAAAAAGCTTTTATTGCACTTAACAACAGGCTAATTTAATAAACTGAGAAATCAATCACCCCAAACCCAAGCCCTACAGCCACCCTTATCAAACTCCACCCCTGCACCTTCTCCCCCAACATATACAAAGTCTTTCTAGTCCTTGTGCATACCTGTTTGGAAGGTAGGATTGGCTCCAGGGTACATGTTAGGAGAATAGGCAGGAGCTGCTGCAGCATACCCCATGGGGAAACCAGCTGAAAAGAAACACAGAGAAATTCAGTATCATCAATGAAGCAATGATATGATTTTATAACCAGAGCTCTCACAATCCCATCATTCCTCCTCCGCCCTGTTACTCCACAGCTTGACTTAAGAAGCTTCAGAAGCTAGCTTCAATATCTTCTTTCTTCAGAACTTCGATGGGTCAAAGCCACAATCATGTCTTTAAAATCTATGATTAAATGCTTACAATTTCCCACAAGTGGAAAAATATGGCAGAAACTAAGTTAAAAATCTACTGTCAAGAACAGAAAGAGGCCGGCAAGTGGCATGGTGGTTAAAGGTGCTGGACTCCCACATGGCCGACCATGGTTAAAGTCTCGGATCTGGTGGCTTGCTTGCTCCCTTCCCCTCTCTCTCTCTCTCTGTGTGTCTCTCAGATCAAATGGGAAAATAATAATGATAATAATAATAAAGGTAAATAAAAATAATTCTTAAAAAAAAAAAAAAAAGAACAGAAAAACAGGGTTAGTGTAATGGCTATGTTGCTGGACTCTCATGTAGTCGACTGCAGTTTGAGTCACAGACCTGGTGGCTTAAACTCACGCCGGGTGTGTGTGTGTGCGTGCCTAAGATCCCGAGAGGAGAAAGGAGGAGAAGGGACTGTGGTGTGGCCATCCCGCCTGGGGGGTGATTTCTCGCTTTCTGTCTCTCTGTCTCTGTCTTTCTGGGGAGCGCGCACTCCCTTAGCAAAAAACTCTCAAAGACAAACAAACAAACAAAAAAGACAGAAAAACATAATCATAATGAGAAAAATAATAAAAGAACCCAAGTTGGAATCAGGAAACCCCAACCCCTCTGGAAGTTTTATTCCAGAGTAGTTACATAACGTAGTGCTTTGCAAGAATAACAAGAGTGCTCAGAGTATCCTGTGCTAAGTAGTAGCTGGTTTCATTGCACAAAGTATGGAAGATCAGGATTCAAATCTATTTTAGACTTAACAGCAAAAGGTGTTTTAAGGTTATTTGTTCCCACTAAATTCTTTCCCAGATGGCACATCACTGCATATTTTCATTTAAAAGCTACTAAGTTACTGTTTAAAATGCCTATGTTTGGGGCCAGCAGGTGCCATAGTGGTTACCACACTGGACTCCCACATGGTTGTGTCCACATGGTTGTGGGAGTCCAGTGAGTCCTGGACACAGCAGCTTGAGCATGTGTGCGTGCATGCCCCAAATCCCATGAGAATGGAGGAGAAGGGATTGTAGAAGCCATCCTCTCCAGGGGGTGATTTCTCACTTTTCCTCTCACTAGCTCTCTCTGGCTAGCACACGTGCCCCATGGGAAAATCCTTTAAAAACAAAACAGAAACCTCCTATATTCATTTTAATCTTCTTAATATTCTGAAATTCTAATCCCCAGGTTCCCCAGTTCAGGGCAGACAGACATAAGCTCCAGCTGTAATGTCATTAAATGCTAATCCTCCTACTGTAGGAGCTCTAACTGGTTCTGCAGACACACAGATATGGGAAGATCTACTCTCAACCTACTTGGAAGCAGAGTGGACCCTTATCAATACATACGAAGAATCCTTGGTAAGAACAAACTTCAACCACCAGCAACTCAGAACAGTTAACAATCAGAAAAATCAAACAAGACATTCTGTTAGTCAGAATCCTGTCCCCAGGGATCCACCAGCAAAGGACTGTCATAGCCTTCCTCAGAACCCAGGGACACATAAGGTCCCTTGTTTCCCTTCTGCATGAACATCCTGGTTCAGAGTACAGAACCAAGGGAGATAACCCATGTTCCCAAGCCTTGACTACTGTCAGTGTGAGAAGCTTTAGGTTCTGTTCCCTCACCTGTAAATAAAATTGAAAGAATAGCAGTTGAGAAGGCTCAGAAAAAGGTGCCTCCTAGAGCAGGGGTCCCCAACTCCCCTCATACCCACCCATGGCTGCATAGTGAGGGAGTATCCCCCACCCCCTGCAGTGGCTGAGCCAGTGAGGCTTGCCTGTTTGCAGCTGCTCTCCATCACTTGCATTGCATCCTAGGCTCCACCTCCTGTTAGATTCTCATGGAAGTCTGAACTGTATTGTTGTGTGACTGTTTCATTGAATATTGCAATGTGGAAGTGGTGGAAGCGAGGTGCATAGTGGATGTGGTGTCCTTGGGTCATCCCAGGACTAACCCCCCACAAACGCCCCCCAGGGATTTTCTTCTGCGAGGCTGGGCTTGTCCTACTTGCATGCATATAAGGTGGCATCTGGACCCCTCAAGCAACTATGGCAGTAATAGTAATCAAATCAAGCAAATCCGGAGGGTGAGGCAAGAACTCATGTGAGTCTGAAAGGAATTCCAAAAGAAAAATCTTTGTGGGTGGGTTTTATCTCAAGGTTCTGAATAAAGTGCCTAACTTGAACCCCTGTAGTACCCACAAGCTGTCCTGCAAGTTTCCATAGGAACAGCCATCTTTGGACTCCAGGCCCCCAGGAATCCCTGCGAGTGCCTGTTACTCATCTCTTATGTCATTTTAGCCATTGCTCCAGAGTTGTTCTTGGTGTGGAAACTGATCCTCCTCTACCTCAGCAGAAGCTATTTCGGTTCCCCTCCTGGATTCTCACCTTCCCTTCTGCCCTCCCTAATTAGTTAGAGAACAGTATGTGGTGGTCAAATGTTTTACCATGTTCCCTCACTGAGGACAGTAAGGGCAGATTTGACTCAAAACAAATGGAAGATGTCCACTAGAAAGACCAGGATAGTGGTGACCCATAAATGTCCTCTAGGTCCTGAGAGAACCCCCAAAAGCCCCAATGCAAGCAAGAAAGACAAGTCAGCTCAAGAGCTACCCACAAATCACTCACGGAAGCCACCATAATACAACTTAAAGGCCAGGACACCAGAGATAGTTTTTTTTTTTTTTTTTTTTTTTTAATGATTTCATTGTTTAAAAAAAAAGTCTGACACTCCACCTACCTAGATCACAAGCTGTAAGGCCTCTACAATGAAGAGTTAAAAGTCTTCCAAGCACCTTTAGGATTGGAAAGCTTCAACTCAGTGTCTCTGTGTCTCCCTGGCACTGGACTGATTCAGTGTTACACTGACACCTTTAACAGGGAGGCTCATTAAAACTCCCAGGTGTTTCAAACATTCTTTCTCCTTCTCTCTCTTCCATGGCTAGCTGGCCCCTCCATGACCGCACCTTAGTATGGCCTTTTGTCCCCCTAGTTTGTTTGTTTGTTTATTTGTTTTTGCCACAGGACATGTGCACTAGTGGGAGTGTAGTGGGGATGAGAAATCAGACTCCAGGAGAGACGACCATGCAGCAATTCCTTCTCCTCCATCTCCTCTCAGGATTTTGGCATGCAAACATGCACATGCACCTGGCCTGATTTTCAGGCCTCTAGGTCTGGTACTTGAACCATGGAATCAGCCATGTGGGATTCAGGGCCTTAACCACCATGCTACCTGCTGGCCCTGACTTTCGTTTTTCTAAGTCTACAGATAAGAAGATTGAGACCTTCTCTTGCTGACTCTAAAAAATTCAACAGCCATCCAAATGTATGGCTAATCAAAGTGGTCAGATACTACGACGAGAGCTACGGATATAACAGTCCAGAGATTGTAAAAAATGAACAAGCATCTTGTCCATGGATCACCCTCATCACCCAATCACAGTCCTCC